ATCGTGATGTAGGTATGTGGGGGCGTGTTAGAACGAGCCGTTTTAGGTAGGCGTGGTTGAATCTTAACTTTTATAAAGAATATCTCTTTGGATTTGAGACTTTAGTCTTTGCAACTTTACAGATCTTCTTTATGCACCAAGAGCTTGTAACACTCCAAAGAGAAAGGAAAAATTTAAATCGCATCATATTACCCCTTTAAGCACGTTTAATGTTGCTAACGGTAGGCCACCTGCTGCCATCAGAGCAAGTGCAATAGCTGCATTCACGCACTCCTCGGATGCTCTTATTTCGTGAGTTGTGCTTTTAAGTCGGAATGTGTATACAACATGGACACTAATGTTACAACAAAGATGTTTTGGAGCTTTCCGACTTGCATTAATGTGAATTTTCTCAGTTGGGAAATAATTTTTTCAGATTATTCTGACACCTGAATGGTGTCACATGAACGCAGTATAATTTAACTAGCGATCATGTGCGGTGATGATGCTTAATACGTTCGTTTCGGAGCACCATAGGGCAAGTATTTCAATCAAGTGGCACTGAAATCTGCGTTCTGATTCGGTCCGGTACATACCGGTCATAAATGGCACCGGGTTTCATACCCAACCCTACTCATAAAGACTCTTGATTTAAGTAGCTTTATCAGCATAGTATAAGGATTTGCATTGCAAAAGCAGTTTAAAGTTGGGTTAACCCATGCAGTGTTCTTTGTTAAACAATGAACTTTTCACAGATAGATTTCCTGCAACATATGCTCATTGAAAACTACATTTTTGCAAAACTCTACATACAATTCACTACAGTTTCCAGCTGAAATGAACACTACTCACAGTAAAACACCAGCTACTTTTATTCCTTTTCACACAACTTATGATTACAGGGAAATTTATTGTGTTCCTTGCACTATACTGTTATGACCTCAAAACACTTCTATCATTCTGATGTTTGCATCACATACCAACTCTATATTAATGGTTTTTCTGACGTAGTAAACCTGCTCAGTAGCTCACCTGATGATCATTACAAATCATGATAAAAGAGCACAAAGACTTGTTAAAGCAAGGTAAAATGGCATTGTTGCTTCAGCAAATGTATTTTTATCTCATGATTACTTTTGTTAACAATATTGATTAGGTTTAGAGTGGGGTTTAGCATAGGTTGTATGTTAATTTCAAATGTGATAGAGCATAAGCCTTTTAGCTCCACTCACCAAACTTTTAATTTCTGAACTGCCAGATTCACTTTCATTTGTTTTGGATGTAACTGAACACGCTTTTAGCCCCACTCATTGGACATTTCACTTTAAAATGTTCGTAAAACGTGCAAGAAGCAATGTAATATCATTTTGCAAGAATGTCGCCAGTGTCACGTTTTTCCAGTGAGCCTGGGTTGATTTCCTGGGATAAACATTCTGTACCTTCAGTAAATCTAGTGGAGAGCTTTGGGTTCATGTGAGCAGTTGTTGTGTTGTTTATGGGCATTCTGGAACTGTAAATGAGAGGATGTGGGCTTAACCACAGATCTATAATAGAGAACTGGATTGCTCATAACGTCCTAAAAGTGAAGCCGTCGCACCGCCATATTGGTATTCCCTAGAATTCCCATACATTCTGTTGAATTAACAGGAAAACGTACGATTTTAATGTGAAAACATCACCTAACGAATCAGCGTTTTTATATCTGAAGTATCCCTGTTCTTTCTTACAATTCTTCTCCCCAGAGTTATGTCTTCCGCCCTTTTGGAGAGTATCCAAGAGCGTAATCGACGTAATCAGCGTTGTTTACGTTCGGGGGGGAAAGCGTGCGTATGTGTTGTGATACTCTAAAATGGCGGAAGACATAACTCGGGGGAGAAGAATTGTTGAATAAATTGTTATTTTTGTTTTCTTTGCGCTCAAAAAGTATTCTCGTAGCTTCGCAAAACTGAAGTTGAGCCACTGATGTCACATGGACTGTTTTACCAATGTCCTTACTACGTTTCTGGACCTTGGAACGTTTCGGTTGTGTTGCTGTCTATGCAGGGTCTGAGAGCTCTTGCATTTCACCAAAAATATCTTAATTCGTGTTCCGAAGATGAATGAAGGTCTTACGGGTTTGGAACGACATGAGGGTGAGTAATTAATGACAGAATTTTCATTTTTGGGTGAACTATCCCTTTAAAGACATTAAGCTTTATTTTATGCATGGTAAGCTTTGAATATAGTAAGAGGCTAATAAGAGGATAATATTTATAATAAGTTTCTGATAATAATACCAGAAATATATTCATGTTTAATATTTCCTGCATAATTACATACAGTACATAAAAATATATTGTGTTGGATCATTTACAGTAACTGTGTTGACAAGTGCGCAGCAGACACACCCACCTTAATGATTTCAATATATCGCTTATCCTGCCCGAAAAGACCATAAACATTGGAGAAAATATCTGAAGTAACAATTAATTCACGCACACATATCCTAAAAACTAATCCTGTGTGACTGATGCGCTTCAAATCGAGTTAGTCAATGATGCTCTCTGCTGGTAGGGAATAGTAAGATGGCGGCTCGAACATTTCCGGTGGCTTCACCGGCTGACGGCAATGAGCAATCCAGTCATTAAATAGATCAGTGGGCTGAACCCAAGTTAACACCAATGCCAGCCTGCAGATGGTTCTGCTTAAGGGCAAGAAAGGCATGAATTATTCATGGCAGCGGTAGACGAATATTAAAGATATGGAAAGAGAGCTTTGTGGATTAGCAGAATAGCGAGAGGACAGGAGACATGCTGGGGCAGGGGCCCATCTCACTGAGAAACTGAGAGAAATGGAAAGGGAAAAGAGAGAAAACCAGGCCAGGGGGATCCAAAGTGACCCAGTGAGTTTTTCTCATGCTATCTTTCATTGTGTGTGTTTGTGAGATACAGGTGAAGATGAGCAGCTCCTGTCGTAACTAAGAACACTGAGATCCTTGTGTTCTCACTTTTGGGTCAACTATTGAAATTTGGGAGTGTTGCCAGAGCAATGAAGAACATCAATTAAATTTAAAATCTGAAATAATTTCTTCGCTGATCTAAATCCGATACAGAACTGATTCAAACTTGTCCACGTTTGCTTTGCTGGTTAGAGAAGGTGTGATGTCTTATTTGATGATGCCTTAAATGATTGTCAGGGGTCTGGGTCTGGTGTTCTCCCTCTTACCACCAGAGGTCGCCACTTATGTAGCATCCTATGACCCCTTTAAAAAAAAAAAAAAAAACTTTTTACTTATTTTTTAGAACTTTTTAGATATTTTGAATCGTCAGACTGCTAAGTGTTGGATGTGAGCCCGTTGAGGTTGTTTGTTTTACATTCCTGTCGTACTGAATATGTGCTTAATGACAGATTTTATGTTGGGGTTCTATCTAATGAGGGCTTTGGTTTGCTTGTGTCCCATTACTCTGGGTCTAGTATGTCATGACCAAATTTCTCAAATCTCGTGGGAGTCATTTGAGGCACACATTTACGGGCAAAGTGAAATCAAAATGACAATAGTTAAGATGACTTTGCAGTACCACAATGGACAAATGTTCCCCATCCCGATCCCACACAGCTTTGTTTATAACATCCTGATGGGAGAGGTGTCACTTTTAGATCATTGCTTTAAAGGGTTAGTTCACCCAAAAATGAAAATTCTGTCATTAATTACTCACCCTCATGTCGTTTCAAACCCGTAAGACCTTCGTTCATCTTCGGAACACAAGTTAAGATATTTTTGATGGAATCTGAGAGCTGTCTGACCCTGCATAGACAGCAACGCAACTGAAATGTTCCCAAGTCCAGAAACGTAGCAAGGAGATCTGTAAAATAATCCATGCGACATCAGTGGTTCATCCGCAATTATACGAAGCTACGAGAATACATTTTGTGCGCAAAAGAAAACGTCTCCTTGCTACGTTTCTGCACTTGGGAACATTTCAGTTGCGTTGCTGTCTATGCAGGGTCAGACAGCTCTCAGATTCCATCAAAAATATCTTTATTTGTGTTCCGAAGATGAACGAAGGTCTTGCAGGTTTGAAACGACATGAGGATGAGTAATTAATGACAGAATTTTCAGTTTTGGGTTGAACTAACCTTTTAAGATACTTTTAGACCAGAGTCCAGACATCATCCTATTTTGTGTATCGGTGTGTAGGTCTGTACTGTGGGGGATTGGTGGTCTTGAATCAGTTGAATCAGTCTTGTGGCTCCTGCAGGCCCTAATTGCAGGTCTTGAATGTCATTTGATCTGTCTGAAAGCCTCCGCAGACCAAAATGTTTTTTGTCCCTATCCAGGATAAAAGTATGCTTTAACTGATTCTTAATTCTCATGGTGCTGATGTCTCTCTCTCTCTCAGGCGTGACACTGTTTGTTGCTCTCTATGATTATGAGGCCCGGACAGAAGATGATCTCAGTTTCAGGAAGGGAGAGAAGTTTCAAATCATCAACAGCACGTAAGTCTAAGACCTGAAACATAAGCTATGTTCGAAATGGAATACTAGCTCACTACTTACTTAATCTTGTCCCTTTAAGGCAAGTCAGTTCACTCAACAACCATGTTCCTAACACCCCCAGGCAGCTATTTTCAGCCATGCAAGAACAGTTTCTATGTACTTGAATGGAGAAAAACAGAAATCTGAGTAACTATTTGAATAAATAGCATGAGAAGATCATATAATAACTTATGAATGAAATAGTGTGAATTCAAATAAATTAGACACCAATTTGGCAAAATGTAAAATAGTTATGAATTGCCATGAGAGAGTGTTGTTTAAATAAAAATATTTTTTTAGGCTGGTCCATCCAACACACATGCAATTTCTAGAATAAACAAACTAACTGTAAGGTGGGACTTTTATTCCTACAGCCAGCATATTGAGTGCTATAATTTCTTCCATTAATACATATGAGTGGATCGTCTCGAATGGTGTCCAGTTTTCATGTTGGAAATAAATATTGTTAGATTAATTGGTGTCCAATCAAGTAATGAGTTGAGACCGAGATGTTAAAGGACACATATTATGTATTGTTAGATTGCATAGAAATATATCATGGTTTAAATTTATATTAAAAGACATAGTTGAACTTAAAAGTGATTTTTGACCCACCTAAAATAGGATTTAAGTACATCTTTATATGCATTTTTTTTAATTATTCCTATTTTCTTTTAAATATGGTTAAAGTGTACTGTTGAGTGTCCTGACAAACATTGATGATAAACTAAAATTCTGTGTCATTTCTACTTAAACTTGTATCTCATGTATAGAAATATTTTTTTAAGTTGCAATTTAGTACATTTTAAATATATTAACTTAAAATGTAACATCAAATTGCAATTAAAATTAATTAAATTGTAGTACAATGTAACACTACAATTAAAATTATAAGTAGGTCTTTTACATGCGCTTTAATATGTTAGTCAACACATCAAATAAGTATACTTCTTCAATGCATGATAAATTATTATTTAAACAATTATTTAAAATGTACTCTAAAGTAAAACTTTTAATGTGACATTATTACCAAGTACACTTACGTGGCCTTTTGTTGCATTGTATTATCTGCATTTTATTTGAATAGAAACTTAAGATTTGAAATCCACATTTAATACAATTAAGCACACTTTTTCACAAGGGTTGCATTTTTGTTTAAAGGCGATTCATACGGATTCATACCTGATTAAAACTACACGTAAAGCAGTTAAATGTGGTTCATAAATGTGTTTTAATCCTACCTCCTTAATTTCAAATTCTGAATCCTATACAGACTGTGCTGCAAGGTAGTAAGCAACTAAGAAAGTAGTAAGCCGGTATTCCATTTTGTACATTGGCAGAGTGTTTAACATTAGATCGCCCTCTACTGGTGCTAATATAACCTGCACTGCTCCCGACACCATGTCTTCTCAAGCTATGCCATTATTATAATAACTGTGTGTGTGTGTGTGTGTGTCTGGGGCAGTGGACACAATGATTGGGAGAGATGAGAGAGGCTTTTCTTGGAAATTATATTTTGTGTGAATAGGCCAGGCTATTAGAGAGGAACAGATTGGTTAGTGGAGAGGGGTATTACATGAAGGGCATGTTAAAGAGAGAATAGGGCATTATTTAATAAAAGTGACATACACAGAAGATGATAGGAAGTGATCTCTCCCTTCCTTGTGGTGTTTCTGTTTATTGGTCCATCTAAACAAAGGAACGAAAGAAACTAGTGACACCTGCATCTGACCTTTCAGTCTTTCACACAATTCCTTGTTTCTGTGTGTGTGAAGAGGTAAAACTGTGTATAGGGTGTGTTGAGTTTTACATTGTAGTGAGAACATACTGAAGATGGATGGACAAACGTATGAATGGTTGCTGCTGGATGGATGAATGAACGGAAAGTTGAATGAAGTGAGGTATTGGATGAACATACGGATGGACAGATGCATGGACAAGTCTACTAAGTCTGCTAAAAAAAATTCTCAAGTTCTGCTATGACAAGAAGAAAACGTGTGTGTTTTTTCTCTGTCTTTGTCTGTTTGTGTCAGTGAGGGTGATTGGTGGGACGCCCGATCTCTCACTACAGGAGGAACCGGCTACATTCCCAGCAATTATGTCGCCCCCGTGGACTCAATCCAGGCTGAGGAGTAAGTATTGGATGATTTTTATGTGTGTGTGTGTGTGTGTGCGTGTTAATCTGAAATAACTGCCTGTGTTAAGGGTGGGGGTAAAGTGATGTAATTGTAATCACTCCTACTTTAACCCATAGATTTCTCAGCAGGATGCATGACAAACCACAGCCCACTCTGAATCCAGATACAGTCGCAGTATAGGGTGGTTCTTGACTGTTATTGCTAAGCAACATTTGTGTTGTGGTCCCACTTTATATTAAGTGGCCCTAATACCTGTGTACTTGCATATTACAGCTCTAGATACTATGTACCAATGTGTACTTACACTGTGGTTACATACTACGTACACATCTAGTTACTATGTAAGTACACAGGTATTAGGGCCACTTAATATAAAGTGGGACCGTGTTGTTGTTTGGGACAAGTTACAAAGGCACTTCCCAAAAAGCATAACCATATCTGAAGCCTGAATGTGCGAAAATTAGAAACTGCAGGAAAATGTAATGAAAAAAAAAGTTTTATTGTCTATTGTCAGTAGTATAGAGATGTTTAACACCGAAATCTCACACAGAAATCACTTTCAAATCAAGCAGCTTTCGGTCAGGTGGCAAATTCACATGACCAATGAAAATGAGTGAAATCTGCACTGGAAACTTTTTGGCCCTCATTCAGTACTACCAAGCAAACTGATTCTTATTAGAATGATTGGATTTTTGATGATTGATTGAATGATTGGATTGGATGCCCAAATAGAAACCAAATGAAATTGCAAAAATATGTTTTAGTCACTCCCCCTCTTTTGTTGTCCTAACAGACATGTAGTCCCACCCAGTGGAAGAGAACACCATTGGTTGGGTTAAATGTTGACATGTCAGACTGAAAACTATTCTTCAGGAAATGTTTTAACACACACACACACAAGCATGAAAAAATATGCTCACACAGCTTAAGTTAGTTAAATTTCAATCTTTCAGACACAAATTTAAAACAGAGCAGGAACATTTCTGCTCTGAACGAAACGTTTAATTATGGTGTTTCTCCTGTGATTTTCCTAAGTTACACTATGTATTAATGATATCAGATTTTTTCCGTTTCATTTTCGAAAGCCAGATTAGTGTCAGCTGCTGGCTTAGTCTAACATGTGTAACTTTAACCAGAAGGAGATGTTTGAGTGATGCAAGTTTGCAGATGTTTTCGGCATTTTTCTGATGTTATTTGTAAGGCCCCTCAAATTGCATGTTTACATATACAGCTGTAAAAAACGTTTCCCAGCCATCCCTTCTTTGTGATCAAGTTTACATATGTTTCTAGATATCGTTGTAATGTTATGACTAACATTAATATGGTACATTTGATGATGCATTCAATCTTTCATATAAACAGACTGATCCAAGCAGGCCTGGTTTAATTAACAGTATCAAGAAAATGCAGACTTGATAAAGGCCTTCTTCCTCTTTCTCTGTCTCTCAGCTGGTATTTTGGAAAGTTGGGCCGTAAGGATGCAGAAAGGCAGCTTCTTTCCACAGGGAACCCGCGTGGCACCTACCTGATCCGTGAGAGTGAAACCACTAAAGGTAATAAACAGCACTTATGGTACTACATCATTAACTGGGTTATACAAAAGATCACTGCACTACACAACAGCATACTATCTACTGTGATTCATGAAGAGTTTAATAATTCTGATTCCAGTTACGATTCTAAGGACAGTTCACTCAGAAATGAAAATCTGTCATCATTTAGCCACCCTTATGTCTTAATGTTGATTTATTTATTTTTTGTCCATACAGTGAAGGTCAGTGGGGTCCCGTGTTGATTTGGACTTTCACTGTATGGCCATAAACAGTTTAAACTACTTAAACTACACTGCACAGTATTAGTGCACTACAACAGCCCTTCTGTTTTGTGTCTGTGTGGCAGGTGCCTTTTCTTTGTCTATCCGTGACTGGGACGATGTGAAGGGGGACCACGTGAAACATTATAAAATCCGTAAACTGGACAGTGGAGGATATTACATCACCACTAGAGCTCAGTTTGAGACCCTTCAGCAGCTGGTCCAGCATTACACGGGTAACACGCATAGACACGCTTCTCATTCCACAGACCCAGTGCACAGAACTCTCATATCTCATAGCTGCAGATCTGACATGCAAAGTTATTCAAAGTAATTATAGTTTTAACTTAGCTGTCTGTTAGAGAGGCATGGTTATATCCCATAATGCCATTCACAGTGCTTTTGCAGCTCTCTACAGGAGGCGGCACTGCTCCAGTCAGTCAGAAAACCTCATCTGAACAGCTCTCTCTCTCTCTATCTCTCTCTCTCTCTCTCTCTCTCTCTGTCTCTCTCAGTAGGATGTAATTTGTCTATGCTCCAGTTAACATATTGACTGTTAATGCATCTAGAATGAGTCATATGGATTTTAGATAGCGTGTGCAGTTTGCTTCTTCCATGACCTCCCATACTGAGCCTAGAGAACAAGCATACACACATATACTCATAATAATACATCATCAGGATGAACTTAACTGTGCGTCAGCGTCAATGTCTGTGTTGATGCTACTCTAAATTGGCCATGTTTGCTTTAGCTTAACACTTTCTCATTATTGACTGCCTTCACTTTCAGCAGCAGAGCTTTGTGTTTGTCTTTGTAATGCGCCCCGTTACGGCAGTGGTCCAAACCTTAAAGCAATTCCACTGCCTACCCCTGTCCCTCTGGTCTCCTTTCACATTGTATTATTTGGCGCATCTGTATCATAAATGTGAAAAGTAGCATCAGCTGTTTGCAACTGTAGCTAGGGTGAAAATCAATTCAAGAAATGCATCAGGACTCTTTCTCAAATGATTCTGTATTAATCCACAAAACTATATGATCAGAATGTAAAATGATTAATAATACTGTTTTATTTTTTGAAAAGTCATATGCAGGACAAAATATCACATATACAGATATGTGCCATGCAGTGTTGCAAACAGCTTAGAGGCAGGCAGTGATCATCTGCAGTGGCATATATAGCTTAAAAATGTGCACTTACAAATTCTATTTGCAACAAATTTTAAGGTCGCTTTGATGCGGCTTTTAATTTATACAAAAGCCTCAGAGCCGCCTCTGAGATCATTATAGGACTGTGCATGCTTATTCTGTTTTTTTATTGGAAACCTGTTATAGTGCAACTTTTCAAGTCAAGTCAAGTCACCTTTATTTATATAGCGCTTTTAACAATACAGATTGTGTCAAAGCAACTGAACAGCATTAATTAGGAAAATAGTGTGTCAATAATGCAAAAATGACAATAGTAAACACTAATTTTTCAGTTAAAGGCAGTTCATCATTTCACAGGAGAACCACCAAAGTATCACATGAAACCAAACAGGAGTGAATTACTCACTTAAACTAAAGAAACTGGAATCCATAATCCAATTGAATCAATTGAGCAGTTTAGTCCAAGTCTTCTGAAATGACACAGTTGCGTTATATGGCTGCGTTTACATTGCAATTCTGGATATTGACCAGCTTACATCTCCTTTTAAAATTAATCCATATCCGATATCTGCATTTACACTATACACTTGGCGAAACGACCCAGGGTAGATGTACTAACAGTTGCCAGGTCTGCGAAACTAAACCAGCTCAACTGCTATTTAAAAATGATAGAGCCAAAATGGAGTACAAAAAAATAAAAACAAAATAAAATAAAATTGCCAATTGCATCTTTATGAGGTTTTCCCCTCTGGCAAGGGTCCCCCTACGTCGACATAGCAAGGGGAGAGATCGCGTTAACCCATGGACTAAAAAACAACCCACGGTAGCGGTCAAAAATGAGCCCAATTCTGCAGGAAACCACGAACTTGGTAACACTGCATCCACCTGAGTCACTTTTTCTATGACGTATGCATTGACAGGGGAATATCCGATCTGTCCGCTTATATGGCAGACACAAATGCACATATCTGATTCATATCAAATTTATTTCCACTTATGAATGAGGCCTGAAACTGATCTGAGAATATCGGAATCCATGTGCTTTTTTTACACTTACATCTTTGTGGGTCATATCCGATCTATGCCACATGGGAAAAAATCGTCAGAATTGGATCACTTGAACTATGTAATGTAAATGCAGCATATGATGAAATGTAAATGTAAATAAACATTGATCATCGCACATACATGGAGCACATCAAATATGGCAAACAAGCTCAAATGTGCTTTCTTGACATGCAAGAACCAGTGAGGGTTGTTCTTACATGTCAGGTAAATAATGCTTGAACTTATACTGCATTCTACATGAGACATATCCCAGAAATCATTTTAAAATGGACTTTAAATCAGGGGTGCTCAATCCTGTTCCCGGAGATCTACCTTCCTGCAAAGTTCAGGCCCAACCCTGATCCAACACAACACACCAACTAATAATGATCTTCAGAAGCACTTGATAATTACAGACAGGTGTGTTTGATCAGGGTTGGAACTGAACTCTGCATGCAGGTCGATAACCAGGAACAGGATTGAGCACCCTTGCTTTAAATCAAAGTGCTTACCAAAAAAAGAGGAGTCCGTACTAAAAACTCAAGTGTGAAAAACCCTCAGTCTAGAGATCCAATGAATCTGATATCATCATCACATTTTTATTCCCATGTGTGAGAGGGCTCATGATGTTGATGAGGCCGGATTCATGCTCTGGTTCCTCAAGCTCAGAGCAGATGGCACTCAATGACTGATTCCTGAAATGATGCATCTATTGGTGCCAAGTGTTCTGTTATCTTAGCTTTACAGTCCGGAGTAAACATTGCTGTAGTGTTGTTGGAAAATGCCTCACATTAACCCTTTGTTAAATGTCAAAACATGGCAATAGGCATCTCCTACATTGTGGCCAATCAATAAGGGGCAAACAGTCCAGACTGAATGTTTGATTGGTAACCATCACTGTTTTTCAATCAGTTACGAGGTTCTAGTTGTTGTTGTTTCTGTTCAAGGTGCCCATAAGTCTTTGTCACAAAGTAAAAGATTCCATTTTGTGTTTCACAAACAAGTGCAGATTCCACTGAAAAAAAATTGCATCATGGCTCACCATTTGCAGGTGAAACTCTGTACTGCTTCCTTCAGTGCTTCTGATGCTTGTCTTTTCTCTCTCTCTGACTTTGTGTGTATCTGTATGTGTCTGTGTGCACACGCTCAGAGCGGGCAGCGGGGCTTTGCTGTCGTTTGGTCGTCCCTTGCCACAAAGGGATGCCAAGGCTCACTGACCTGTCTGTCAAAACCAAAGATGTGTGGGAGATTCCACGGGAGTCACTCCAACTCATAAAGCGATTGGGCAACGGCCAGTTCGGGGAGGTTTGGATGGGTATGGCCCGTCCCACAGTGCTTAGCAACAGCCAACCAGGAGTACGTTTCCCAAAAGCATCGTTAGCCAACTATGGTCGCAAGCAGTGTTGGGGGTAACGCATTACAAGTAACGCGAGTTACGTAATCAGATTACGTTTTTCAAGTATCTAGTAAAGTAACGCATTACTTTTTAATTTACAAGAGAATATCTGAGTTACTTTTTCAAATAAGTAACGCATTACTTTTTTTTTTCCAATTTATTGATTGACAGCTCTCCTGTCCCCATGCTGAGAGAAATTAGATGTTGTTACGGTAGTTCTAAAATAAATATGAATATCCATTAATTCATCTCACTTAAATTACGTTAAAAAAATATTACGTAAATTTACTTTCCCTTCAGCCTGAGGCTTATTCATTTCGCTTTTGGTGTGAAAAGGCTTTTATATTTGCCAAAAATAGAACTTTTTTATTTTAAAAACAAACAAGCGAGCCCTGTCCAGATTTAAAAAGTAACGCAAAAGTAACGTAACTCATTACTTTCCATAAAAAGTAACTAAGTAACGTAATTAGTTACTTTTTTAATGGAGTAACGCAATATTGTAATGCATTACTTTTAAAAGTAACTTTCCCCAACACTGGTCGCAAGTACCAATACAGTTCAATGGAAATGACGGAACCTGCAACCACGGTTGCTTTTGGGAAGCGCACCCCAGCGAGAGAGATGGAGTGAGGTCAAAGTGAGAGGAGGAGTTACTACAAACGTCTGGATATTTAAGCTTATTTATTTAAACAAATCTTCCAGGTTCAATATGTTAAGCTCTAACGAAAGCATTTGTGGCATGATGATTGCCAAGTCGACCCTCTGACAACTTTAAAAAAAAACACTCTTACAGTGGATGTAAACTGGGCCAATGTGTACATCCATTTCTGGAATATTCAGACATCATGAAGTGACCGACCCTCTTAGGACAACAGGACCACCCTCCTTCTCTCTCATTGCATGTTCCCCCGTCGTCCTGCTAGTTAACCCCTCTACTCCTCCCCCTTTATAGAGAGTGCAGATGGTTTGTGCTTTCAATTAACGGGTGTGTGCATGGTATACATCCCTGATACGGTGGGACTTAGCCATGATTCCTGGGAAATCGCCCGCGAGTCTCTGACGCTGGACAGGAAGCTGGGGGCCGGGTGTTTTGCTGATGTTTGGTGTGGTAAGACAGTTGCCTCCTCTCCCACATTCTCTGACCTCCACACAAACTCTGAAGATTTCAGAGAAGCATTTTCATCTAATCCTGTTTGATACAATATTGGTTGCTCGCCTCATTCTTATGACAATGTTCTGACATCCCTCAACTACCTCAATCGCACCTTTATTAAAGGAGCAGTTCAACCAAAAATGCTTTTGATGTTTATGTATTTATTCATTCATTCATTCATTCATCTATTTAATAATTATTTATTTATGTATTTATTTATTTTTTTAGAATCATAGTTTTTTTTTTTACATACAGTCTATTAATGGTGACCATGGCTTTCAAATTCCTAGCTGTGAGAAAATCGGATGTTGTCAGTATATTAGATCCAGGAATTAGTTCAAAGTAATAGCAGCCTAATAAACCTGCTGCTGTGTGTGTTAATCAAACAACAAAAGAAAGAGAAAAAACATCTCGGATTACAAATGTAACCATGGTTCCCTGAGAGGGAACGAGACACTACATCCTCTAATAGACACTATAGGGAATGCCATCAACATGACCGGTGTTTGAAGCACGTGTGAAAACTCCATTGCAGCTCCATGCAGCCCGTGATGTCATTTGCGGCACACCCGGAAGTATAAGAGGGCACCTGTAATGCAAGTCATCAACTTCTTTGTCTGAAGGAGACATGAAACAGGCAGGCCCTAGGCATGGCAAGGGAACACAGTGTCTCGTTCCCTCTTGGGGAACTAGGGCTGTCAAAAAAAAATTCGAATTTCGAATATTCGTCGAATTTAAAACAAAAATCCACATTTGAATGCAAAATGTTGCATTCAAATTTTAGGTGTGCGTCAGGCAGCTTTATCAGTGGCGCACGAGATGCAATGACGATGTAAGTGTTGTTGCATTATAATGTTTTGTTAGCCTATCCAGTTGAACCGACTGGATGCGGCTCTGCTGCGTTGTTCATTAAAAATATTGCGGAAAAAGAGAACATCAATAATCAACCGATATGGCTAGCAACTATACTCTCATTCCGGCGTAATAATCAAGAAACTTTGCTGCCGTACCATGGGTGCAGCAGGCGCAATAATATTACGCAGCGCCTGAAAATAGGCTTATTGGAAGTTACCTAGCTGGGGGACTATTTTCAGGTACTGCGTAATATCATTGCGCCTGCTACACCTATGGTACGGCAGCAAAGTTCCTTGATTATTACGCCGGAATGAGAGTATAGTTTCTAGCCATATCGGCCTAGTAAATCGCAACTTTTCATTTTCCGTCGGCCTTAGTACATGATGTAACTACAGAAGAGTCAAGTTTTAAATAGGAAAAATATAGAAACTCTTTGGTCTTTTTTGAGCGAGATGCTAACGGTCTAATCAGATTCAATGATCTATGCTAAACTACAGTTAAAAGTGCTACCGCCAGACCCGGAGATCAGCTGAATGGATTCGAAAACGGTAAAACTGTTTAACTCTAGGGGAGTTGGAAAATGAGCTTATTTTCAAAAATAGTGGAGTGTTCCTTTAAGCAGGGACATCCCATTCAACCAAGTTCCTAAAGACAGTGGGCCATCTACTTAAAACCCTAATGCAAGGGAGACAGCCCAAAGCATATGGGATTCCGGGGAACTGCCTGCTTGACATTATCCTGAAATCAGGGGAGGCAACTTAACGTATCAAAAAGGAACCTCAGGGGGACCGCCTACTTAAAACCCTAGAAAGCGGGGAGGCAGCCCAGCCCTGCTACCAGAAATATTAGGTAGGGAAAGAGCTCACAACTCTGGGGGGAGATCTAGAAGGGAAACTATCCTCAGACAATTACCATCTCTGAAGAGGCTGCTATAGGTGGACCACCTAATTTACTATCTGATACAGGGGAGGCAGCCCGACCTAGGAGACTATACGAGAGCTCAATCCAAGGAACCAAAAAGGGGGACCACCCACTTAAAGCCCCTAGTAAGGGGGGACAGCCCAGCCCATACAAGCAGACCGAACAGAGGGAACAAGGAACCCTACTTCAATATCCACATACAGTACATAGTGAGGGACATCTCGCTCCTCCTGGGCCAAAGAGCAGCTATAGTCAATGGCGGCCACGGGAACGGATCCACGGAGTGCAGGAGCTCAACTCTCTTCCTTCGAGAGAGAGTAAACCACCACATCACAAAACACATGTTTAACTCCCTCGAGAGATAAGCGTGCTTAGTTCAAGCATCATTATAATCCCCTCGAGAGCCGGACGTGCTTGTGCAAACGCTGACTACTATCCCTCGGGAGAGAACAGAAAAGAAAAGATGCTAGATTCCCTCGAGAATCAAGCCAGAGCAAAATCCACTGTCGCGAATGCATCGCTATGAGTCTGTTCAATTCCCACAAGAGGCGAATGCGCTTCTTACCAGGTTTCTTACCTTCCCTCTAAGTAGTCCTGCGAATGCATACAATGAGCACATCCCACTTCCTCGTGAGTCAAACGAGTGCATTCAACTCCCTCGAGAGCTGAATGAGCGTGCTTCCCGCCCATACACACGACATATGAGTTGCGTGAATCCGCAGGTATTAAGAAAAGCCTCTCAAAGAGCGTATTCAGTTTTCTCAAACACCAAACGTGCACGCTCCTCACTCATGCACAAAATATATCATTCATGCATGTCCTCAGGTCCTCAAACGGAGGCACGCACTACCTGAAACGTTTTGCTGAGTGTTTCCTACACGTACACAAACAAATGGCTCCTGAAGACAAAAGAAGCTGATGAGGTGCATTACAGGCGCCCTCTTATACTTATACTTCCGCTAATGACCTCATGGACTGCATGGTCCAATGCATTTGGAGTGTTTTCACACGTGCTTCAGACACCGGTCATGCTGATGGCATTCCCCATAATGTCCACTAGAGGACGCAGTGTGAGTTCCCATGAAGGGGAACCACTCACTGCTCTCAACCAAATACTTTTTCTAGCTTTAAGAAAAATCAATGTATATTTCATTGTCATTTTTGTATTTTACATTTGATTACTTTATTCAATTTCAGTACATTTCTCACCTGAATAGCCTAATGCTAGATAGACTTACCGGAAACATTTAAAGCACTATGTACTTAATTTTGTATATTTGTTCTGATGTATTTATTTGTTCTATTGCTTGTAATTTTTTTTTTTTTTGTTCTGACTTTTTTGTCTTCAATAAGTTTTTACTTATATTAGTTGTAGTGCCTACTAGTTCTTACTACACAATAACTTGCAAAATAGTCTTGAAAACAACATAAAAAAACATAAGGTTGTAAGTCTCTAAAAAAAAAATGTCACATCACCCGCCAAAATGGGGGAAAAAATAAAAGTGTTGCGTTTATAATTTTGTTCAGTGTATGTTGAATAATGACTTGGTCTGTTCAAACTAAAAGTTAGAAGACTTGAAGTCATTTTGATTACTTTTACGGTTCTTTTTGATGTTTTTTTTTTATTTTTATCCTGTCTGAAATTTGATAGTCATGGTTACTATGAACTGCTGTAAAAGAGCAGTTTGAAGATTCTTCAAAAATTATCTTATTTCATACAGGTAACGAGGGTGAGCAAACAATGCATGTTTTCATTTTCGGGTGAACTATTTCTTTAACATGTATTAATTAATTAGTCCAGAGGGATCTTGCATCAAGTATTTTAGTCTTACCCCTTCATTATGGACTGCAAACCATTTCTTTTTACCCATACCACACACAAGGATTAGATGAATATCTGAAAAATAATAAAAATAATTTTAATAAATGTATTGTTAAATAATAATAATAATGAAAAAACTATTAAATTAGATTTTTCACAGGAACAAACTTTACTTGACAGACAAGCTAGAGATCATTTGTGCACGCACATTTTACACATTCTGATTTGTTTTGATAATTATTGTAAGAGCTTCAGTGATTCTTCTACATGTCTCTATCATGTCAGTGAATGGAGGTAAGAATATGAACAGTAAGTATCAAGTGGAGTCATGGGTGTTTTTGTTTACTATTCAACACATCTTTTAATCACAAGCAATCTTATTCAAGATAAGTGTGCTTGTGTACTCATCTCTCACTTTTCCCCATACTTCCCTGTAGATGAGCATCCCAAAATATTTCCTGAATCTGCCTATTATAATTATTGCCTTTAGGACACTGCTGGTATTAATGAACAGAGGCACACAGATCAGTGTGTGTGTGTGTAGATTTTAAAAACCAGGTACCACATCTGATGTAACCATTTGAGTACCACCTTGACATCGCCTGTAAGTAAACATGAGATGATGTTTGTAACATTTTCTTCTGTAATCTGAAGAGATTCAGTATGTAAAGCACTTGTAAAACTCATCTCCATCTGCCATTGGTCAGATTGTCCAGCCCAAAACTCTTGTCATTGGTTGAGCCAGTTGTCTCTATTAATCTGGGATAGGAGAAGATATTTTTAATACCCGATAAATGACAAACTTCAAATGATCAGAATATCCACCATCGCAGTGTCATTTAAAGGCAAGCAGATTCCAGTGCTGTGGATTTAACAAAGTAGTTTTTTTCTGTCTGTTGAAATTCCTTACTATGTGCTGAAGAAAAACAGCTACAAATCACAAGTACAATGTAGTTTAAAAAATAAAAATATATAAACCTTTGTTGCAAAGTAAAAATATCTAAACATACTAAAAATATATTTTAGATTGCATAAGAAGCCATGCAGTCAAGCACACATTCAACAAATTGCTTTCAGCACAACTTTGTGTTGATCCGCATAGTTTTTAATTTAATAGTACTAAAACAATCCAGGAAGTGAATACAAATAAGCAGTGCTATAAATGGGTGCAATTCATTCATAGTGAATTCCCCATGAGTGTACTTGTGTGATAATGGCTGCTTGCAAATTAATTTTGCATGAACATGGGGGTGGAACTTTTTTGGGGGGTGCATGAAAGTCATTTTGTGGCATGCTGTTCGGCTAGGAGCTTTGTGCAGTTGCAGTTGCATTGACTCTCTGTCGTGTGGTTTCTGTCAGGCACGTGGAATGGCAACACCAAAGTGGCTGTGAAGACCCTCAAGCCGGGAACCATGTCTCCAGAGTCCTTCCTGGAGGAAGCGCAGATCATGAAGAAATTACGACATGATAAACTAGTGCAGCTCTATGCTGTCGTTTCTGAGGAGCCCATCTATATCGTCACTGAGTATATGGGGAAAGGTCAGCAGTCGTTCTCATAGTAAAAGTGAAGAGAATGAGTTAACTAGAGGACAGACATTGAATGTATCTATTTTAGCAACACTGATGGGTTTTGTAGGCCTGACTGAAGAAGAAAAAAATCCAATTAAAGATAAATCAGGATTGAAGGCTGATGTTCTAACCTTAGAAATTGTCACTTGAGGACTCAAAACGCTTTATTGGACAGGAAGATAAAGAAATTATAGTGGGCTAAATTTAATTTGAAGAGCTGTAATGGAGGAAGCAGACATTTAACTTAATACTGCAAGAAAACCTAATAGACAGTGGAGGGGAAAATTCCTGAACTCTACACATATGTTATTCAGCATCAAAACATAATTTAGTCATGATCATAATCCACCCTCTCTTAGACGTAACCCAAAGTAGTAGTCCCCAAAAACTAAAACGAAAGTCCATTTAATATTTACATTTAAGTTCAAACAGGCTGTTTTGTGTTGCAGCATGTGTCTTGTTTCGATGAAGCTAACATGTGTACTGTATGTTATATGTTTTAGGAAGCCTTCTAGATTTCCTGAAGGACGGGGAGGGACGGGCACTCAAGCTGCCCAACCTCGTCGACATGGCGGCCCAGGTACAGAAACATCACTTAAACCTGTTCTACAATGCTCCCAGAAAATATTTAGACACTAAAGCCACACTTAAAAATCCATGTCTGTAATTGCATTAGATGTGATAAAAGCAAAGCACCATTTATTTCAAAGAAAGATATGAATCAATTCAGAAAGAGACATTTTCTTACTCATCACTGTGCTTTAAATGAAGCAAAAATAGCTACACTACTTAAAATAGTTTTTGGGGCCACTGTAGATCAATGATGTAACAAATACAGCAGGATGAAAATAACCCTGCTTTAGTTCACTCAGTCTGAAAAGAATCCGTTCAGGCCCCTGTTGTGTGCATGAAGTTATATTACTTTACTGTATCAAGCTGTATCAGCACTGTAACAACCAGAAGGCAATATTTCTTTGTTTGGCCTAAAGTAACCTCAGCACTATTCCTTAAAGGGGTCATATGACATTGCTAAAAAAGAACATTATTTTGTGTATTTGGTGTAATGAAATGTGTTTATGCGGTTTAAGGTTCAAAAAACACATTATTTTACACATACTGTACATTATTGTTTCTCCTCTATGCCCCGCCTTTCTGAAACGTGTCGATTTTTACAAAGTTCATCGGTCTGAAAAGCGAGGTGTGCTGTGATTGGCCAGCTATCCAGTGCGTTGTGATTGGCCGAATACCTCAAGCGCGTGACGGAAATGTTACGCCCCTTAACATACTGTGATGATGCCCTGTCCGGCCGGAGCGACGAGACAAAACCAATAAAACCCATTATAAATGAGGCATTTGTTGCATCCAGTGGGGACATAATTACTGATTATAAATGACTTATACTGTCTTTTTACGCGTTGCGTTGCATCGCGCCGCGTAAACATAAAACCATGTCTGCATTTGTGATCGGAGAAATGACAAACAACAAGTGCTACTCTACACTGCTCAAAACTCGCGTTTGAATCGTCAGTGGCAAATCCTTTAAATATGAAAACATACTTACAGGCTGTGAGTCAGCATTATTTGTCAGCATCATAGACTGTATAGGGTCAGCATGCGCGCTGAAGGGGAAACGGTAACTGAATTCACCAGAACGCATTGTAGGCTGCTCTCCCAGGAAACAGTCCTCATCCTTTGTAAAATGCGCTGCACACATCTGAATATTTGGGCTGAACTGTTCTGGAACAGTGTTGTAAATACAACTTAACCACTGATTTCTAGTTGTGTCCTCTTTTGGAAGACCAAACAAAGTAGTTTCGCTTTCACAACGAAACACACGGCGTCTCCACGACATGGCGGCGGCAACAATACTACAGCGAGAATCAAAGTTACGCCTTCTTTCTTTGCGTAAACATTTGGGCGGCGTTATGCAAATCTTCCCACATCGTGACGTAGACATGTGGGGGCGTGTTTAAACGAGCCGTTTTAGGAGGGCGTGGACGAGTCTTAACTTTTATAAAGAATATCTCTTTGGGTTTGAGACTTTAGTCTTTGCAACTTTAGGGATCTTATGTATTCGCGAACAGCTTGTAACACTCCAAAGAGAAAGGAAAACTTGAAATCGCATAATATGACCCCTTTAAGGTTTTGACTTTGCTCAGCACATTTCAGTGTAAGTGTTTGTGTGTGCAGGTGGCTGCAGGCATGGCCTACATCGAGCGGATGAACTACATTCACAGAGATTTGCGCTCTGCTAACATTCTGGTTGGTGATAACCTGGTGTGTAAGATCGCTGACTTTGGCCTGGCCAGACTCATTGAAGACAATGAGTACACTGCCCGACAAGGTAAGAAACATTTGCTACCAAGCACATTTATTCTTCCACAGACCGTCTGGACACAAACATATACGTATTGTTTGGGATGCTGGTCCCCCAGCATGGCATGCTAAAGAAATAGTTGACTCTTTAGTTATGTTGTTCTAAAAGTCAATCATTTTTCAGTGGAACACAAAAGTAGAATTTGTCTGAAGAGGTTATTTACAGTATTCTAAATAGTGATGCACAGAAATGAATTTTGACCAAAACTCAGAAACGCCATTTACCCGAAAACCTTATTTTTTTAATAATCAGTTATTAAACCTGTTTAATAACACTCAATTAAAAAACTGCTGCTACATATGCAGCATTAAATTAATGAAATGAAATACAAAAGATTAGGATGAGTGTTAGATGGCTGCCCAGTAGTGAATGTTAATGACTGAAAAAGGTTTCAAATCCTGAAGCATACTTTTATTTAAGAAAACAAGGAAATAGTGCTGTGTTCTAGTCCATGTATATATGCTCCACATTTTATTTTGTGATTTGAATAACTTTCCTCCCACATTTTTGGTCTCTAGCAGATAAAGAGACTTTTCTTATTGGCTGACTGCTTATCCTGTGTCTGTGGTGCAGAGAGAGATACAGTAGCAGCCAAAGAGGTTGCAGCAGGCAGAGGGAGCTGCTCGGAAAAAGTTAGCTCAAACTGTCTTGAATATGAAATTCTGCCTCCAAACTGCCTGTATTGTTTGTGCCAGAATCCGCCACTTCTGAAAGCAAATAATTTCCCAGTTGATTTACAGGTTCATTCATTTTATACAGCAGAGGAGTTACATCTCACATGGAAAGATAGCATTTTGAGAGACAGCGAGGGATTTGATTTTACAGATTGAGATTTGATTGGATCATGAAAAGTGAACTTTGATATTATTGGTCAACACACCGCACTGGTTACATCAGCAGAAAAGTAAAGTCATTTCAGAAGAGCAGCAAATGATTATGTCTAGGTGAAAGATTGTGTATACAGGTTGTTTTAGAATAATATGTGTGTGTGTCAAGATATGAATTAAGAAAATAAATATCATGTAAAGTCAGAGCAGTGGCTTGTGGGAGGAGCTCTCACATATAGCTCAGCTGCGCCTCGGGCCTGCTCCTGTCTTGTCTCGGATTATTTCCTGTCTCTCATCCTACTGTCCTGTCCATTAAAGGTGAAAGAAGTGTGAAAAGTATATTTTGATTTCATGATTTCAGAGTTTTTCATTGTTGGTAGCTGACTTTAATACAAGACAGTCCAGTGCATTTTTATTTTAATACATCTCTTTCTTTCTCAGGGGCAAAATTCCCTATTAAGTGGACGGCTCCTGAAGCAGCTCTGTATGGGAAGTTCACCATTAAATCCGATGTTTGGTCTTTTGGAATCCTGCTTACGGAGCTGGTCACTAAAGGCAGAGTTCCATATCCAGGTAAATCTTAAAAAGGCTGCTTCGGGTGATCACTAGATGTATTGGAAAATTACTATTGTGATTAAAAAATACAAAATAATAATAATAAACTAAAAAAGCCAACACTATGTTGCCTGTCTTTTTATAGAAAGTTTGTGATATTTAATCATTTTACATCATATTTCATCTTAAAACCAAAAGGCTTGTCTAAACATTTAAAGTTGAAAGTTTTTGCTGTCACATAACCCAATTTGTGAGCTGCATGTCTAGTCTCGGATTTTATTTTTCCATTTGATTTCAAACTGACTCTGCTTTTTCCACACCTTCAAGTTTTTTTTTTTTTTAAATAGTCATGCTGGCATGTTTTGGAAATACAGTGTGTTGGTAATTAGATCAAGTAACCGGAGCAAGTATTCATCAATATCAGTATAAATCTGTGTAAAATCTCAAATGAAGTCTGATACATGGTGAATTACTATAGATCTGCACAATTCTAGAAAAACACTTCCAAATGCCATTGTATTGCATCATCCACAGAGGTTTGCAGGCGTTTCTCTCTCAGTGTTGTTGAAATGTGGTCATGTCCCTCATGATGATGATTCATTCTCTGGCTTCATGAGTGCAGTTCTGTTCCAAGATCCCTAGTATTTAGAAGCAGGTCTTATTGTCCTGCCACCCAAAGCTTCAAAAACGGTGATCGGATATCGCCTGGTTTGATTGACAGATTAATAGTCTGTTTTTATCTCCCCAATCATCATTGCAAAATGTACTTTGCAACATGAGTTCAAGGATCTGTTTATTAGTGCTTCTGGTTCAAAAGTGACTACATTTATCTATGAAAATACATCTTTCCGAAAACAGCTTTGTAACGAAAAACTTGTGCTGTGCAAATTAGAGATGATGTAGGCCAATTGGAAGACAACTATTCAGACATCAGCGCATACAGATAAAACTCTGTTTATTTGAGCATCCCAACTAGCTCACCATAGCAACGCTGGCTAGCTCAGCATAACAACAGTACGAGTTTGGGCAGAACTAACTAATGAGGCAGTGTTTGAGAAAAGAGTTTAATTTATTGCATTTAAAATGTTATCAGTTCTATTTGGTGCATGGAAATTACACACAGCTTTAAATGGTTAAATGGTCTTAAGAGGGTCAGATGTCCATATGTGTGTCTTCAGTTTCAGTGGTGGACGAAGTAAAAGTGCAGACGCTCTAGTAAAATATTACTCCAAATAAAAGTACCCCTTTTAAAATTTTCTCGAGTAAAATCGGGTCCTATTATGCTTTTTCACTTTTTTAATTTTAGTCAGTGTGTAGTGTGTATGTTTGGGCATAAAAAAGATCTAGAAAGTTACAAATCTCAAAGTCCAAGGGAGATATTTCGTTTTTAAAAAATCCCTTTTCAATAACTACAACGAACGGCTCGTTTGGACTACAGCGTTGTTTTCCGGGCTTTGTGATATCACAAAGCGGCCCATTAGAATATCATTAAAAATAATTCCCGCCTACAGAAGAGCAAGGGGCGTGGCAGTACTGAAACACCGTCTAAGCTGTTCGCCAATCACAACACACTGGGACAGCGAACCAAACACAACACATTTTGTTTTTCGGAAGGCGGACCTTCATCAAAGCCGGAACTAATCGAGCCGTTTGTGGCAGGCTGGGGAGAAAGGTATTTTAATAATATAAAAAATTATGTGAAAAATAATGCATTTTTCGAACCACCAAGCATGAGAGCATGTTCTAGTACACCCCCAAAACAAAATCAAGACTTTGTAAAAGAGCATAATAGGACCCCTTTAAAAGTAAAAAGCACTGATCGATGAGCCATGTGTATTGTTTATTCTAGCCTGCACAAGTCAGTAAGCACGATTAGTGAAGACTTTTAATATGTATTGATCTGCAAATAAGGCCACGTTTTATTTTATTACCAAAAATTTATCAAAACATTAAACTTCAGTATACTAAAATATCAATTTAAGTTCTGAAAATTCAAGTGTAGAAATAAGTTAAAATGACCAAATATACCATAGAGTATTTTTTAAATGAAGAAAAACAAAATGTGTGTAAAAAGGGTGACCGCATACAATATACAGTCACTTGAGGAAAAGTGTGTTCATATTTTTAAAAGAACACTTTGCAGACATACTAGTTTTGTATCATTTAAAACTGCTACGGCATCAGCGAAGATGCATGTGCATTAATTTGCATTATTTTAACTTTATTTACAGTTTTTACCTAAAGTAGCCTTCCCCGAACAGAAGGTGACACACAAATGTAGATATTTCATACAATGGGCTTAAACAGCTTGCCCTTTTACAGAAGATGTAGGTCACAATAACTAACAGTCATGGCCTAAATATGATTTTCATTTACTATCAGTACTAAAATTCTGCATTAGTACCTCCGAGGATCTCCCGTTTCCTAGTTCATTTTGAGTTAGACATGAAGACTCACTCTGACTGGATCATTGACTCAGTCGGATCAGTCCACTTTAGTGACTAGTGTGGGTTAGTTCACCCAAAAATAAAAATTAGGCTGTGTTTTACTCACCCCCGATGCATCCTAGGTGTATATGACTTTCTTCTTTCAGACGAATCCAGTCGGAGTTATATAAAAAATTGTCTTTGATCTTTCAAGCTCTATCGTTGCACTCAGCAGGTGTTGCATTCCTTCTGTCCAAAAGACGTGAAATAAAAAGCACCCTTCCATAAAAAAAAGTGTCTCACACGGCTCCGGGGGGTGAACAAAGGCCTCCTGTAGTGAATCTATGCGTTTTTGTAAGAATTACGTATGAGGTCAGCTTTGCGCATGCGCCTGTCATGCTCCCGGAACTGCTTCTGTGTACAACTGTTGGCGCAAGCTAGATTCAAGTGATTATTACGTTTTGAATATGGATATTTTTCTTACAAAAACGCATCGATTCGCTACAGGAGGCCTTTGTTCACCCCCCGGAGCCGTGTGAGACACTTTTTTTTGTTGAAGGGTGCTTTTTATTTCACGTTTACGTTTTTACGCTTTTTAACTAACCCTTTAATATTATTATTATTCAGTGCGACTTGCAAACCGAATCAGCTCGTTCACAAATCAGACACTGCTATCGCATCTCGGAGCGGATGTTGATTTCTTTGGTTCAAAATAATGAGGAACAACAAGTTTTTATGAAATGCAGATAAGCAACTAATTAATAGTGAGAATTGGTCCCTAAACTAAAGTGTTACCAATAATTTTCTTTATCAATTTTTGTCTTGTTTTCCAGAAATTACACACTTTAGCATTTTGTTTACATGTGAGTGAGAAACCTTGGGGTTTCCAAAAGAAGAAAGATAACTTAAAACAGTCCATTGTTCATGATATTCATTTAGCTAAAGTTAAAGGTGCAATAGGTGATTGTCTTCAGAAACATTTTTTGTTATGCTGGTTGAAAGTCTCTTCACATCCCGATAGCAATCATTAAGTTAAGTGGTCTAAATGTATTCTGTATATATCTGTATGTATACATTCTGTGGAAGGCGTAGGACCAAGAAATGTTCGTCCAATCAAAACGCTCGGTCCGAGCGTTTTAATTGGCTTTCCTACCTGCCTGTCAACGTATGTATTAGCATACCTCTGCGCACCCTGTTCGTGCAGACAGGATACGTCATCAGCGCATTCACGCACGCTGTTCAGACAGAGCGAGGATGGCAGACAAACATCAGGAGGGGGGGGTGCGGGGGGGTAGGGTTGCAAGAAATGGAATTGGGAACCGCTGATGTAGCCTATTGTAGTAATGTTGTCTCTGGTATTCTGGTCTGTGAGCGTATATGCGTTCAGGGGGCGTGGCTTTGGACGGTCGCTTTCAGTGCCATCAGGCTAAAGTTAGCATTTTCCAAGATCTCCTACTGTACCTTTAAAGTTAGGCAAGTGAGTTTGATCAAGTTTGGACAGTGGACCTTGAGGGCCAGAATTGAGAACCTGCTTTAAGAAACTGCTTTATAGCTTTAATCTCTAATAAGATTACCTCTCATGTCATTTTGGCTAGGGATGAATAACAGAGAGGTACTGGAACAAGTGGAGCGTGGCTACCGGATGCCGAGTCCCCAGGACTGCCCGAGCTCTTTTCACGAGCTGATGGTTCAGTGCTGGAAGAAGGACGCAGAAGAGCGGCCCACTTTCGAGTACCTGCAGGCCTTCCTTGAGGATTACTTCACCGCAACCGAACCTCAATATCAGCCCGGAGACAACCTCTAAACCCAGCCTCCTGGGCTCACCCTGACCTCATCCTCCCTGGGCCGTCCCAAGTGGCCTCGACTCCATCCTGACTGGAGGCATGTACAGCTTCATGAGTTCACCTAAGCTCCTGTTACTCCCCTGCGGCTCCACGCCCTATTTGCCCGAAGACTGAACCGTTTGCACAGACTTTCACTTGAGAGGTGTACACATGAGCGAGCTGGGGAGGCAAACAGGGGGAATTGTGGGTAAAGCTGGAAGGGGGAAGACGTGGAAAGGCTTTTGTTCAGAGTTGTGGCCATAACATTATAATGATAAGAAATGATGCCTGTATTCAGTGTAAATACGAGATGCTTGTTTGTTTGATTTTTTTTTTTTTCATTCATGTTTTTTGTTTTGTTAAAGCCCCGCTCATCTTTTTGTGCTGCTTCGCAAAGTAGCAATTTTGGTCGCGTCGAGGAACCCGTTCTTCATGAAGGATAAAGCAGACATCTATGAAGGGTTTAGGTGTGTGTCAGTGCATAAAACTCTTGTAATATTTAAGTTTTGAGAATGTTTGTGGTTTATTCATTCTCTCCTCTTCTGATGAGATCATGTTCCAGATGGAGGAATAAAGATTCAGTCTTTATTATTCTAGTGGTTTTTAAATATCTCGACCTTCAAGAGAAATTGATTTGTCATATTTTCTTGAACTTATTTATTTTTTATTTTACAGTGCAGAAGATACTAAATTGAGTTGACATTTTGTTAATCTCTGAGAATTGTGCCCTCTCCGAATTATTAGATGTCAACCTAATGTAACAAAAAATTATTTTACACATAATGTACATTTTTGTATTTCTAGCCAAATGTTAAAGACTGCCATATGTCAGTATATCTCCACAAACAAAATGCATTGTGTTTAGTTTTCCAGCGACCAGCTCTCTCTCTCTCTCTCTCTCTCTCTCTCTCTCTCTCGCTCTTCTGCTCATCAGAACCTCTTTAAAACCCCTCACCAACATTTCATTTGGTTTAACAGTATCGTAAGTGTCAGTAATCACCTCAAAATAGCCATTCCCATTTTTTTAACATGCCATTTTGTTAACATTTCCAATTTGGAAATAAAAATACAATATTTTACACTCTTTACAAGCTTTACTCCTCTTTCTTATTCCTAATGAAATCCCTCTTTAAAAGTTATGGTGGTTTTTACACTGCACATGTAAGCAGTGCGTATTTATTTCTCCATCCATTTTAACAGGTTTCAGCATTCACAATATGCCCCTAAGCAAGTAAAGTTTCTGTGTTGAGCTTATTTTTGCCATTGGTAGTGTACTGAACGAATAAATAATATTTATCAAGGCTTTTGCAATACAGCTGTTATAAAAAAATCTATATAAAATAGTGCCCAAAGGTAAGAAAAGAGACAAACGTAGTATTAACATTAGCATAGATGCCACTCTACGCTGGTTATGAAATACACAAAAGAACTGACTAAAGGTGTGTTTACATTTACCATTGCTTGGTGAAAGAAAGACTGGGTGTGGCTATAAAAGGTAACACCTTATTTTATAGTGTTTTTGGTAAATGTTCTTATTAACAATAAATTATGCAGTTACGTGCAACTACAGTGCCTTGCGAAAGTATTCATACCCCTTCATTTTTTTCACGTTTTGTTATGTTGCTGCCTTATGTTAAACTAATTTAAATTTATTTTTTCCCACATCAATCTACACTCAACACACCATAATGACAAAGCAAAAACAGAATTGTCAAAACTTCATAAATATATTAAAAATATTTTAAAAATCTGAAATAAGTACATTGTACAAATTTGTACAAAAAAAAAAAAATGATTCCATTGCATAAGTATTCATATACTTGTGCAATGGAATAATTTTTTTTTTTTTTTTACAAATTTGCAAAGATGTTAAATACCTGTTTTTTTGCTTTGCCATTATGGTGTATGGAGTGTAGATTGATGTGGGAAAAAAGTAATTTAAAGCATTTTAACATAAGGCAGCAACATGACAAAATGTGAAAGAAATGAAGGGGTATGAATACTTTTGTTAATTATCGGACCAAAAACCTCTGCATGTAATAACCTAGAACATTGTCTAACACTTGATGGCTGCTCTGTTAATTCTTCGTCATCAGTTAGGAACCGAGGTGTGCTGTTTGATAGCAATCTTTCCTTTGAAAATCGTGTTTCTAGCATTTTTCCATCTTAAAAATATATCTGAATTACGACCTATGCTCTCAATGTCAAATGCAGAAACGTTAATTCATGCGTTCATGACCTCAAGGTTAGATTATTGTAATACTTTATTGGGTGGTTGCTCTGCACGCTTAATAAACAAACTCCAGCTGGTCTAAAATGCAGCAGCTAGAGTTCTTACTAGAACCAGGAAGTATGACCATATTAGCCCTCGCACCGCTTTAGTTCCAGAACTAAATGTACAGTACTAAAGTACTGGG